TGGAGTCGTAAGCTGCCGCCCCACCAAAGATCATGAGGCAGCCATCTGGCGTCGGAAAAGCCACCATCCTTCCTCTCGGCGTCGTCCGCCGCTGGCTCAGGCTTCTTTCTCTAGTCCCCCTTTTTGGTGCCATCGGACAGGAAACGCTTCATGAGGGCGCAGTCCTTGTACAGGTGCTTGATGGGGAAGGCGTGGTTCGGGCACGGCCCCTCGAGTAGCCTCGGTGGGCGCCCAGCCTCCTTTCTGCTTGGTAGCGGCCACAAGCGAGCCCCCGTGTCGCTGCGTGTTCTTCTTCTTGTTCGGGCGGTTGGAGGCACCCTCGCTAGCGTCCTCGTTCCGCTTTGCTTTGCCCTTGGGGCAGTCGAAAATCGCTCTGACCGCCTCCTCGCCTAAGGCATTACTGGTCACGATGTCAAGGAGCTCCTTGTTGGTTCGAGGGCCCTTACATCCTAGCTTGTGGACTAGGGACTCACAGGTGGTCCTGGATAGGAAGGCTCCGATGACATCGGCGTCGACGACATTGAGCAACTCGTTGCATTACCGAGAGAAGCGTCGGATGTACTCACGGAGAGTTTCCCCGTACTTCTATCGGTAATTCTTTAGATCCCAAGGGTTCCTAGGGCACGTGTAGGTGTCCTAGAAATTTCCCACAAAGATCTCCTTTAGGTCCACCCAGCTTTGAATCCGGTTGGGCGGAAGGTGCTCCAGCCATGTTCGTGTCGAATTGGCCAGGAACAAGGGAAGGTTGCGAATAATGAAGTAATCACTATCCGCACCGCCGGCTTGACAAGCAAGTCGGTAATCCTCGAGCCACAAGCTAGGGTTCATTTTCCCAGAGTATTTTGGGATGTTGGTTGATGATCGATACTGCGGCGGGAAAGCCGCGTTGAGGATGTACCGGCCGAAAGCCTAGGGCCCTGGCAGATCGGGGCTCGGGCTCCAATTCTTGCCGCAATGAGGGTGGTAGCCATGTCCGACCTCCTCTCTCTTGTCCCCCATTCCACGCCTGTGGGTTCCTAGGGTGTTACGTGCATCACGGTTGGGGCCGAAACGCTCATACACCGGGACCATGGCAAGCCCCCATGCCGTCCCACGACGCCTGGTGGACGGATACGTCCCGGCCATTCGTCTCGAAGAGACGCGTTGATTGGTGTCGAGCTCGCATCACCAAGACAGCGAGCTTTCTGCCTGCTGCATCATAGCGCGCTCGAGTAGCGTGCAGGTCTCGGGATGAGCCCACCGGTCTTCAGGTGTCACAGGCTCTGAGAGCCCTTGGAGCAAGGCCACTGCGACAGCTAAGTTCTGGCTTGCTCGGGCGAAGTACGGGAGGCCTCTGTCGTCCTCGATGATCCTCCAATTTACGTCGCGGGCGATGGCACACGCACGGCCACCGTCTCCATGGCGTTCGATCTCACACTCGAGCTGGAGTCGCGCATCCTCGATCTCCTTGTGCCATGCCCACAGCTGCTCCACCCACAGGCGAGGCGGGGCCCCCTGCATCTCTCTCGACCTCGTCGTCGGGGTCATCCGTAGGAGTAGCCCCTCCCTCATGGACGCTTTCGACGCGTCCCTCGGGGGTGCCTGCCATGAAGCATTCTCGCGAGGGGTGATGGCTTCCCCTACTGGAGTCAGAGTCGGAAATCGTCTCTGAATCTCCCACGAGAAGGTCGTGGAAGGATTCCACGACATAGTCCGTCATACCCACGAATTCGTCATTCGTGGAGGACGGGTGCATGTGCTATGCCGCGAGGTGACCAATGGTCCTTGCAGCGTTGCACAAACCGAACGAGAACGTTGTCGGGGCGCTCCGAGTGAGGTATTCCAGGGAGAGCGGTTCCCTTCCGGCAAGCTGCGTCATGACGTTGGCGAACAAGAAGGTGAGGCAGCGCAGGTTCTCCCGGGACGGTCGGGTCCTAGGAAGGCGTCGAGCTGGCGCTCTAGCCTCCCATAATCAAAGTCGATGAGCTGGTTGCTCCCGGGGGCACGGGCCTCCGGGGCATGCAGCTACAGCTCTTCGAGGGCCTCAACGGTTGCGTCGAGGCGGGTGGAGCGAAGAAGTTGGACAGGGGCGGGAGCCCGTGCCAGCTCTCCCACCGCAGTGACGAAGAAATCTAGGCTCTCAAAACACACGTGCGCTCCCGAGACCCAGCTGACGTCGTGGCTAGCCATCCGTGACCTGTTGTGGACTACGAGACGCACAAAAGGCCCCTACCTGACGTGCCAACTGTCGGTGTTTCGAATCACCAACTAGTAAATTTGTGATTGGCGCGTCTGGCCCTGATGGTGTGCTCAGAAGACATAAGGATTTATACTGGTTCGAACGGAATGTCCCTACGTCCAGTCTGCTGCTGCTCGTGTTACCGGTACTAGTTTGTAGTAGGGGTTATAAATGGGCGAGAGAGGGAGCAGGTCCCAAGTCTCTAGTGAAAAGGTCAAACGGAGTTGAGTCTCGTTGAGCCGCTCAGCGTCGTGCCCTTCGTGGGGCGTCCTGCTTCCCATTTTATAGATGAAGGGGAACACATAGGTTACACGAGAGAAAGAGAGAGAGAAAGCGAAGGATAAGAAGGCCTCCGGGGTCGCGGCGCCCTTCATCTCCTTAACGCGGGTCCCGTTGGTCCTATAGATGATGACGGGGACGACTACACGTCGCGACCCTGTTCATCACTGGCGCTATACGCGGGCGTCGTCAGCCGGTCGTGGCGCTCCATTCCGTCCCGGGGGGCAGCATGGTTAGCAGATACACTTGTTAGAAGTCGTACGGGGATTAGGTAGCATAGCGCCGGCACGCCTGACACTGTTGGCGACATGAGTCCTCATGTATGGCCCGTCGTAGCCGCGGGTCATGTCAAGACGTGCCTACTCCATTTCTGATGACAGAAGTTTGACCCTGGGTTCATACTCTTAGACCCGTAGTGGTTGGAGGCGGTACGGACCCCCGTCGGGCGAGACGGAATCCCCCTTCGAGGGGTCAGGCGTGACGGAGCCCGCGCCCTCGGGGTCGGGCGAGACGGAGCCCGCACCCTTGGGGTCAGAAGTGACGGAGCTCGCGCCCGAGGGGTCTGGCAAGATCGAGCGCGCGCCATCGGGATCGGGCGAGACGAGGCCCGCGCCCTCAAGGTCAGGCGTGACGGAGCCCGCGCCCTCGGGGTCGGGCGACACGGAGCCCACACCCTCGGGGTCGGGCGAGACCAAAATACGCTCTTGACCATCCGGCGAGTTAGCGTTCGCGTCCATCAGCTTCCTTCTTCTAGGTATCCCTAATACTGGTACCCGACAGAATTAAAATTCATGCGTCTCATCAAAAGGGCTCTAAATGTGTAACCTCAACGTAGTAGAAGTAGAAAGATGCAGAGGCTGCGTGATGCGCTATAATAGTACGGCAAAGTCATGCGATGCGCTACTTGCAATGAGAGCAAGGCATATATACTCGCTTGCTATATCGAGTAGCATGCATGCAGCATGATGAGTCGATCACACTGCAATGCAAGACAAGCTAGGCCGTCCCTCCTTTCCGGCCTCTTTGGTCCCTTTTGCGTTCGTTTCTTTATTACTTTTTGCGTGTTGCCGACGACGCTCCATGCATGGTGCATCATGCTCCCATTGAGCGAGAGTAAGCAGTGTTACGCTTGGAACAATCTCTTTCTTTGTCTACATGCATGTCTTAAAGCTGCTTCTTCCAACCTTCTATAATAACCAATCATCTTTATTTAGTAATAAACCATTTCTAATGTCGGAAAACACCAATCACCCATAGAAATGGGGCGGTCTATAACATGGCCTGTCGGCCCTAGAGATCATTTTCTAGAAATGATAAAACTATTGTAAAAAAATTAAATAGCAAAAAAAAAACTTCATATTTTAATTTTAATTTTAATCTCGGTAGAAGCCCACTAACCAGAGCACATGATTTTTCACACATGCGTTTCCTAGGATTTAAATACTGACCTCTTACCTCGTGTGAATCCCCCTCGACCACCATGACATATAATCACTTGTGACCTAATATACAATGATATCCTTTTGTATTAACTTATGTGATTCTTGTACTGGATATTTCGCCCATCTCATGAAAAAAGATCAACTATAAATTTTAAATTTTATTGAGCACTACAACTTTAGTATAGGATACGTCTCCATCCGAGATGGTTTGAAACAATTTAAAATTTAAATTTTAGAATCTAAGAAATTAAAACGTAAATTTGGATGACTAAATGGTCAAATAAAAGGGTAATCAACTAGAAAGTTGTATATTACATCGAGCTCTATTATTTTTATATAAATTTTATATTCATCAAATTTTATTTGAAAAGATTTTTTATGTGCAACACCTATTTCTAAGAGTGGACTGTAATATCAATTGCCCTTAGAAATCAATTTCCCTGATTAAAAATACTAACAAGCATCTACAAATATCATTTATAGAGGCAGCTGATGTTACAACTGCCCATGAGAACAAAGGGTATTTTGGGGGCACAAGGACAGTGTGCGATGTGGGAAATCGACGGATGGAAAAATCCTCTTTCACTCTAATCTAATGTTATAAGAGAGGAGGAGGATATCTAGAAGATAAGAAAAACGAGACTAACTAAAATAAAACAATTTGATTTAAAGTTAAAAAAAAACTTGATTTAGGAGGGGAAAAGAGATACATATAACAAAAGAAAAAACATTACTTTGCTGACAATCTCTATCAACAACGCTGCAACTGTAGAAAGAGCGGGCCCACCCAATCCTCTGCGTCATGGGCCTCCGTAATAAATAAACTGGGCTGAACTGGCGTAGCGCACCACACCAACGGCAGGCCCAGCCCAACTTCGGGGAGCGCCTCCCGGTGGGTCCTACCAAAATTCGAACGATTTCAAATCTCCCTCTCCCCCATCGGCTCCGTTGCGCTGCGCCTGCGCTCCCATTCTTTCCCCCTTTCCAATTCCATCCGAATCCGAGAGGCGCCTCCACCTCCACCGCTCACCCCCGCTCCTCAAACCCTAGATCCGCCCGCCATGTCCGCGCGAGGGGTGCGCCCGGGGGTGCTGCACCACAAGGAGAACAACCCCACGGACGCGCAGCCCGGGAAGCGCCAGCGCACTGCCGCCGGGACGGGGAGGCAGCCACTCGCCACCGCACCGCCGCCACCGCTGGAGGAGCCCATGGTGTTCGCGGGCAGGGAGGACGTCGAAGCCCTCCTCAACGAGAAGATGAAGGGGAAGAACAAGATGGACTACAAGGTTTGTTGCTCCTCCCGTCCCTGGATGTTGTGCTTCCATTAGTACCTTACCGTCTTTGTTCCTGTGTACCTCCAGTGAGCATACTAGTGGGTGTCTCGATTCAAACTCGACAGATTGTATAGATACCATTTTTGAAAAAAAAAAAGACAAATAGCTGCTCGCGTGTTCCTCTGCCTGCGCTCATGTGAACTGGCTGTGTTAATTTCAGGCGTATGCTCATTCTTCCAGTTCAATTCTGATGCTAGGTGATAGATGCGTCAACTTTCTGTACATTTGTTTCACTTGTCGCCTGTTAATAACCTGCATGGCCCCCTTAGTTGACTGTACTAGTAACTTGCCTGCTCTGACACACTGTTCTCATGTGTGCTGTTAGTTGCTTAGCGTATCAGCAGTGTTTTTTGACTACTGAAACTACAGAAAAATGCACCGGTAACTTAAGGCCATTCACTATTCCTTTCGACAAGTAAGCATCAGTGAATTGGATAACAAACTGTATTTTGGAAGAAGAAAATAAAGGTTCCAACCTGTAAAAACAGAGATGTTTAATTTAAACATAAAAAATGATGAGTTTCTACCCACGGTACTGATGGTGATTCCACTGAAACTAGCTCCTAGGACCTTTGCAATGTTTTGACATCTGATATTTTAGGTCTGACTTCACCATTTTATTTATAATGACGTCCTGCCTTTGGTGATTCGGTTTCCCTGGTTGCCCAGGGGAAGAGCGAGCAGATGATGGAATACATCAAGAAGGTTCGAGCCTGTATCAGATGGCTTCTTGAGAGGGAAGACGCAAATCTTGCTGAAATCGAGAGGATCAATGGTCAGCTTGAGGCGACACACAAACAACATTCTGAGATAGGTACCAACCTTTTGAAATTATTGCATCATGGATACTTCCTTTCTTCTACATTTTCTGACTGAATTTTTATTGCTTCATATAGTGGCTGACTTGGAGAATACTATTGAAGAAACAAAATCAATATGCACGGAACTTCAAAAACAATGTGCATCTCTACAAGAGGCTCTGAAGATAGTGGAGGCCGAAAAAATGGTGGGTGACTTGTGCTTCTGGCTTAATATCATCTTATTACTCTTGTGTCACTCTCAGTTTCATTAAAAATGCAGGATGCCCTGAGGTCTCTAAGAGATGAAAGGGAAGCAAGGATGGGTGTGGAATCTTTGCGCAATGGACTTTTAGAAGATCTGAACAGGGCAAAGTTGGAGGACAAACGCCTCAATGACCAGGTATAAGCTAACGCCTTTTGTGAATCTCCCCTTCCATAAAAAAACTCCTTTGAATTATTATTTATCAACCATGCAATCCTCATTTGCTACTGTTTATGTTTTGCATGCTCGTTGTTATCCTTAGATTAAGATGCTTCAGGACACAAATAAAAGGCTTCAAGAATATAACACAAGCTTGCAGCAATACAATAGCAACCTCCAAGCAGATGCAACAAAGAATGCTGAAACAATAGCAAAGCTGCAAAAGGAGAAGAATACTATGGTCGAGACAATGAATGGTCTGAAAGATCATGCTAACTCGGTAAAAATGCAACTAGACATGGTAAAGGTAAGATCTCTGTTACATCTTTCAGTATGCCCTTTCTTTGTCCATGCTTCTTTATTGGATTTGTTTATAGAGAATTATCCTGATGTCTTGATTATGCTGTTGTCTTTCTAGTCTTTGCAAAATGAAGCTGCAAAGCAAAAGACCGATTTATTGAAGGAAGTTGAAAGTCTTAGAATGGAGCTTCAGCATGTAAGGGAGGAACGTGACACTAAATCTGCTCAAGTAGATTCTTTGCTGGCTGATATTGGAACATACAAAGAAATGACTGGAAAAACTGTCATTGAGTTAGACAGTGCCATGGCAAAAACCTCTGCCCTTGAGGTATGACTATGTGTCTAGATAATTCAATCATTATCTAGATAATTGAAACTGGCTAACACATTTTCAATGAAATAGGAAACATGTTCATCCCAAAGAAAGATGATAGAGACATTGGAAATTAAGCTTGCAGCTGCCAATGAAAAGTCAAAGGTGTGTACATGCCTATTTCTTCATTAATCATTAAATATAATGATGTTGTGTTATATCTCAGTAGGCACAAGTTTATCTATATGTTTCTTACTGTATCAAGTGTCACACTGTAGGAAAAATATTGCATAGATGTTTAATACCTTGAACCTTCTCTTAACTGTACAGAGGTCTGATATGACGGCCTCAGAAACCATGACTGAGTATGAGAACATGAAGAAAATGTTGGAGAGTGCTCTGTCGCGCCTTGAAGAGGCTGAGCAAACAATTCTGGACGGAGAGAAGTTACGGAAAAAGTTACATAACACAATTCTTGTAAGGAATTCTCTTAAGGTCTCAAAGATCCAGTATATATACATATATTCTATTTGGCTGTTCCTAAATTTGTTTCTTTGCAGGAGTTGAAGGGAAACATCAGGGTATTTTGTAGAGTAAGGCCTTTGCTGCCAAATGAATCAGGAGCGGTCTCATATCCAAAGAGTGGAGAAAACTTAGGCCGAGGCATTGAGTTGTTACATAATGGTAAGAGTCATGTTTACATTCATTTTTGTAGTTTTATACTTCGATATAGAGTATTTACAATATTGATTGTGACATAATTGCATTTCTTATTATTTCAGCACAAGGATATTCATTTACTTTTGATAAAGTATTTGATCATTCGGCATCACAAGAACACGTGTTCATAGAAATATCTCAACTCGTCCAAAGTGCCCTAGATGGCTATAAGGTACAGTATTTGGATGGCTATAACTGAGATTACCTTTACTAACTCTAGAAAAAAAAAATGTTTTTTGGTTTGTTTTTTCCATTATCTAGTCTTCTTAGAATGCAACTAAAAAATGGTAAATCATTTAGGTTTGCATTTTTGCCTACGGGCAAACTGGTTCCGGTAAAACATATACAATGATGGGCAATCCTGAGTTAGAAGATCAAAAAGGAATGATACCACGATCTCTGGAGCAGATTTTTCAAGCTAGCCAGGCACTTAACTCACAGGGTTGGAGATATAAGATGCAGGTGTGTTTTTGGTAATTTACTTATTTAATTGAACTAACCAGTGAACAAGTTTTCTGTAACTGTTATCATGGTGTATTTTAAACTTTCAGGCCTCAATGTTGGAGATTTACAATGAGACCATACGCGACTTGCTTGTGACGAATCGCATGGCTGCTCAGGATGGTGGTCCTTCAAAGTACAGTATCAAGCATGATGCCAATGGTAACACAAATGTGTCGGACCTTACGGTCGTTGACGTAACTAGTATCAATGAAGTTTCTTCTCTCCTCAGGCGGGCTGCTCAGAGCAGGTTATACACTTCTTTATTTTCAAAGTTTCAGCATTAAGTATTTGGTCATAAGAGTATATAATAGGAAAATTCTACTGATCATGAGTATTCATTTGTGTGCCATAATTTTTTGGCAGAAGATGTGTTATATGATGTAGCTATGTAAAGAAGTCACTACATTATACTCCGCTGACTGTCATCATGACAAGACTTTAGTATTCATTGGATCATTTTTTGTATTTAAACTTCAGGCATGTCACTTGTTTGATGATACCCATTATATGGTTATGATCAACTCTCAAATATAAAAAAAACATGGTACCAATTGATATTTTCTTAAGCAAAAAAGTAAATCTGGATGCTGAAGATAATCAGCTCAGGTTTAAGTTCTTCACTATCTACTTCACTGTGTACTCCATACTAGTTTGTCTTTTCAGTACAGATGCTAATTTTCTTAAACCTGTATGGTAATATCCTCAAGTTTCGATAGTATCACTGTAATTGTGTTCTCAAACTTCTTTTTGAGTTCTACATTTGAGAATTGAGTGCTGCAGGATGAGTCGGTTCTGGTGCATTGTACCTAAAACAGTTATTTATTCATTTTGTTTTCAGATCAGTTGGGAGAACACAAATGAATGAGGAATCATCCAGAAGTCACTGTGTTTTCACTCTTCGGATATTCGGTGTAAATGAGGTATATTCTTATTCACATGTAAAATTGATTGGCATGTTGTCTTTTTGTCTATAACTGACCATTTTTCTTTTCAGGGAACGGATCAACAAGTGCAAGGAGTGCTCAATCTTATAGATCTAGCAGGCAGTGAGCGTCTGAACAAAAGTGGTGCCACTGGTGATCGGCTGAAAGAGACTTTGGTAATTTGCCATCGTGTTCCTTAGCATTGTTTGTGTTTTAGCTTATATATATTCTGTAATAACGAATAAGCATGGTTTTGTTCCGACATAGGCTATCAACAAAAGCTTGTCATGCTTAAGTGATGTCATCTTCTCGATTGCAAAGAAGGAGGAACATGTTCCGTTCAGGAACTCAAAACTGACATATCTGCTCCAGGTATAACCTTTTCCTCAGTAACTTGCACTCTTGTTCCAATCCATTGGCTTCTTTAAATGTATCAAGTCTTAACTGATTCTTTTGCCCCCTTTCCAACACAGCCGTGTCTCGGAGGGGACTCCAAGACGCTGATGTTTGTGAATCTTTCTCCTGAAGTATCCTCGACTGGGGAGTCTCTTTGCTCACTCCGGTTTGCTGCAAGGGTGAACTCCTGCGAGATCGGGATCCCCCGGCGCCAAACCCAGACGCGGAGCTCTCAATGACGAACTATGACGAAGTCTGTTTGCCTGTGGATTGGCAGGTTCCATCTGCCTGTGGGCTGTGTGGCATTGTATGTTTGTGTTGATTTGGTGATGCAACTGATCATTTGCATCCGTTGTTTGGAGGGTGAACTTGTTGATTGCGCTAACGGCTGGCTGTGGTGTGCTGGCCTATTTAATCTTATTAGGATCTGATTTGATCAAACCTGATCTGATTTGTATGTTGGCATGTGTTTCTTCCATTTTCTTTTTGCTTTCATTCTTAGTCCTGATTTGGTGTTGCCAAGTGCCAATGCCTCTGAGCTGGTCTGGGCTGGGGGTTTATGTAAACAACTGTCTCACTGTCCGACAGGCACAGGCTGCTGAGCTGAGACTCGCAGCGGTGACATGATAATTATATTTCCTGCTCTGTGAATTCTGCCTGTAGACAGATGCTACCAAGATAGGAGTATTTATTTATACATCATCATATATATGAATGAATTCTGGCATGGTTTTGCTAGGCCATCTTCGCCATGAGCTCCTGGAGGATGACCTTGGTCTCGGCGTAGCGGCCGCTGATCCTGTCGTCGTCCTTGGCGGTGACGGCCTCCTGGAGCGTCTCGAAGCTGTCGAAGAGGCGGTTGGCGAGGTCGACGAAGGGGGGCTTGTCGTCTGCGGCGGAGATGAGCTTGTCGAAGTCGTAGTACATGAAGGTGGACTTGAGGCGGAGGTACTTGTTGACGTAGTTGGAGGCGTCCTTGCCGAGCAGGTCCTCCAGCGCCAGCAGGTCGAAGGCCGTGCTGCGCAGCCGGTACGCGTGCGCCGCGAAGCTGGGGCCGATGTCCGCCATGTAGATGCCGTTCTTCAGGAAGGAACGCGTCCCTGTCTCGGCGTTGTTGATCTCCTCTGCAACAGAGAAGAAAGTTTTGCCAATGGTTCAGAAGCTCGTCAGTGCTTGTGCCTGTGTTTACTGAACACTGAATGAACAATCGTCGGTCTGCAAGTGAGTGGTGAAGCAGCTAGGACGGCTTACTGTTGACGATCTTTGGCGTGGGCAAGGGGAACTCAGTAAGCCACCAGCCGTTGTTGGCCGGCTCCTCGTCGCCGGCGTCAGTTGCGGCGGCGACGGCACGTGGGCGGAGCAGGACGGCGCACGCGAAGCTGAGGCCGAGGCCCACGCAGGCTGACCTCCTGGACGGGGACGGCTGCTGCTGGGAGGAGGATGATGAGGAGGCTTGGCACGTCACGTGCAGCGTGGGTCGGCTTGGCCGGAGTAGGCGGAGGCTGCCGCCGGAGAAGGCATGGCAGTAGCTTGCGGCCGTGGTGGTAGCTGCCGGCGGTGCGTTGAGATAAGTGGCCATGGGGACGGACGACTCTGGGGAGTGGGGAGCGAGTGAGGGGCTATGAAGTGTGGATAGAGCGGCCGACCGGCGACGGGCGACGGCATCATCAGATTTCAGAAAAAGGGAAAAAGGAAGAAAGCGGCTGCCGGCCGTTTTGACACCCTTCCGTTCGGATGAGGTTTGCCGTTTGCAGTTGCCACCAATGCACCTAGGAAATTTGGGCTGGTCTCTTCTATTGGGCTTTACTGGGCTCGCGACCGTGTTACGTTTGTGCTCAGTGCCTGAAGCGGCCAACGGGCCTTAAACTCTTACCAAATTATTAGTAAGTAGATTATGCGTGGGCCATGCACCGACAAGCTCCGGTGCTCGTGCTTCTGTCCAAACACAAGCAGAAGAGAGAAAAAGAAAAAAAAAACACCTTCACTTGCTGGATCAATCGTTTTCTCATTGAGTCTGTCTATCCAATAACCATGTGTTTTATACAGTTTCAACACATGAATTTTTTTGCAATTAAAATCCAACAACCTTCATCCTCCTTCTACCTCCAGCCTTCTTCTACCTCACAATCATAAATCAAAAGATCACGATTCTACAGATCATAAGAAACAATTTTTTTTGTATGCAAGAACAAGGGGACAACTCCCGCTCCGATCTGAAACAGGACAAATCAATTTTTTACTGCCGCAGTGCTCCCGCTCCGATCATGAAGCGGTGCTGCCGAAACAGGAAGCGGTGCTGCCGCAGTGATCCAGAACAGGAAGCGGCCGGTGGCCGACAGCGGCGCCGTGCGCAACACCTGTGAAAAAAGAGGGGAAAAAATTCATGTGTTTTTTTTTCACTAAAACACATATGTGTGTTGTATAGCATGTCTAGTACATAACCATGTGTTTTATGCAGTTTCATCACATGATTTTTTTTTCATTATAGGATTAAGATCCAACGGTCTTCACCTCTAGGCTTCTTCTACCTTCAGCCTTTTTTTACCTTCAGACAATCATAAATCACAAGATCACACATCTACAGATCATAAATCACATAAAACAATTTTTTTTTCTTAAAAGGACAAATCACAGAATGGGTCGCCGACTCACAAATCACAAGAGCATGCACGCATTGCATACGACGCAGGACGGACGGACGCTAGAGGCGACGATTCGCGCCACCGATCCGATGGCCCTTCTTCTGAACCGTGACGGCATGGCCAGCGAACGAACTGCTCCACTTGCACGGTGTCCCTCCCCTCTCTGTACAGGTAGCGCGGGCGCACAGACGCACAGCGCTGGCAGGCTACATGCGTGCCTGCGGGGCGGCCGCCCGGTCCGTTCGAGTTCGAAATGGGTTTGGTGCCTCGGTGGTCACAGAAAGAGAGAGGGAGATTGATAAAAAAAATTCATATGTTTTTTTATATTAAAACACATATGTTGTATAGTATTTCTCATTTACGGCAGTCGCAATGGCAGCCCCACTGCTAAGATTCCCAGCCAGCCTCCATGGCAGGCAGAGGCTCAAAGCCTCAAGCGTTAATGGTGGTGGCGGGTGCTGCCGTGGCGTCCACCTTCCGTTTCTGTCTTTAGCGTCACATGGCAGGCAGGCGCACACAACCACACAGTCTCCTATCTCCAGCTACTACCATATACAATCCTGCCGATTCCACTTTTCAGTTTTCCATTCCTCAACTGCAAAACCATTCACGTTTCAACCAAGCTGTAAAAGCCCTTCACCCCAGATTACAGTTTTTAGGTGTCATTTTAACGTGTAACAAGGCCAGCCGTCTCTCTAAATAAATATTTGGAATTTACTAGTTGTTTGAAAGTTTAGAAAAATGTCTAAATAATTTATGCATTTATTATTAATGAGATGAGATGAAGAAAAGTAGGACTCTAAACTTAAATGAACCTTTTTGTTCACAATGTTGATGATCCTGAAATCCATACCAAGTTGATTTATGTTCTGGATAATTATTTGTTGATTCCACTTTCGGCCTTGTTTGAATGTGCATGTATTTGTCTCAATCCACATGTGTTGAAGTGGATTAGAGTGAAATTAAACTAAGTTTCATGCCAATCCACTCCGACACATATGGATTGAAATAGATACATGCGCATCCAAACAAGGCCTTCTAGTTTTCCATTCCTCAACTGCAAAACCATTCATGTTTCAACCCTAAGCTGTAAAAGCCGTTCACCTTTTGAGCTTTGACATTTACTCAAATTTACAGTTTTTTAGTGTCATTTTAGAGTGTAACATGGCCAGCCGTTTCTCTAAATAAATATTTGGATTTTACTAGTTGCTTGAAAGTTTTGAAAAATGTCTAAATAATTTATTTATTTATTAGTGAGATGAAGAAAAATAGGACTTTAAACTTAAATGAACCTTTTCTTTAAAATCCATACCAAGTTGATTTATCTTCCGGATAATTATATGCACAAAATAAACTTTTATAGGAAAAAGGTTAAGTGGTATATGAATTTGGACACCATTCCTAATTTGGCCCTCTATTTGCATTATTGGACGGCTACCCTGTGTCGCCCCAAAGCCAAAGGGAGTAACGACTCACATAGAAGCTCAAATATATTATAGTTACGACTTACGAGCAAGTGTCTGTCCAACTCTTAACCCTGATCCATTTTGCAATATTTTTTTGAGTCCAACTCTCAACCGTCAGCTACAAAACCATTCACCTTTTCAATACTCTGTGTGTAAAAGCTCTTCATTTTCCTCATCTACTCGTTTTTAGAGTGGTTTTAGGTGATATCGGCGTGTCGACACGACCAACGATTTCCTTTAAATCAAACATTTGAAACTTAGTAGTGTCTTTGAAAGTTTTGAAAACATTCTAAATATCGTTTTTATAAGTGGGATAAAGTATATTCTATCAAAAAAAGTGGGATAAAGTATAATAGGAGTATTGGACCCGAGAATATCTAGAGCTTCAAACAAAACTGAACCTTTTGTTCACCCACTCCTTCTCTCTCTAGAGAAAATTTTTTTTTTCTCGATCGTGTCCTTGTGATAATTTTTTTATTAAGAAGAAGTAGAGTTTAAATGGTTACAACCAACCCAAGTAATCCAGAGACTACCAAGTAGGGAAGTGACCCCAACATATAAAAAGAGAGGAACAATGGCGAAGGGGAAGAACCCATAACCCAAAAACCCTACTAGCCATAACCTACAAGAAGATACATCAACGCAAAAGTTGCCTGCAGATCAGGCCACGGTGGCAAAGCATTCGCCCGAGCAACCCTGGCGGCAAAGCATCCGCTAGGTGAGAGGCCCACACATACTCGGCAGCAAAGTATCTGCTAGAGAGGGGGGCCAAGATAGTGACAGCGGCAAAGTATCCGCGAGGTGAACCTAGAGCAACCATTGCGGCAAAGCATCCACAAGGTGAGAAGCCCGCGCACCCTTGGCAATAAAGTATCCGCTAGAGAGGGACCCAGAACAGCGACGGCGACAAAGTATCCGGAAAGTGATTGTCCCACACCAACAAGGCAGCAAATCATCTGCTAGAAAAGGGACCAAAGCCAATAACAGCAAAGCATCCGCCAGAGACCAAACGACGGTGGCTAAGTCAAAGCACTCAGGTAGGCAGACTCTGGGGACGCTGGACAATGCACGCGGAGTACTACTATGGTTATGGTTTTACTATAAGTAGTAATCATTTATTTATTATGAATTTCGCCCCCTTTTTTCGTGCTCATTTCCTGTGGTGCCTCTCTCGCAGGAGGTGCTCTGTCCAATAAAACATGTAACTACGAGTTATGGCAAAAGTAGTTTATGTTTAACCAAATTTTTAGTGAATATTATTCACATTTATGACTTTAAATTAATTTATTAAGAAAATGCATTTCGTAATAAATCTAATGGTATTTATTTGATATCATAAATATTGATATTTTTTATTTATAATTAATCGAACTTAAACTATGACACTATGCTATAATTGCATGTTTTTCTACACAGAGGGAGTCCTGGTAGAATAGCAGCAGTAGCATTCCTACATTTTCCTTGTGAAGCACAAGGTCAATCCACCATGGGCCATGGCAGGCAGGGAGGCAGGTCTCGTGCGTTAATGGCGACGACCGACGAAGGGCCTCTGCCACTGTGTGTGTGATCCAATCTGGACCGCACAGTCGATCACCACCAGCCGGTCTTGTGTGACACGAGTAACTCCACCTCCACTGCTGAGCGCCTGAGAGTGAGAGCAATCAGCTTCCCAGGCGGCCACCACCAAGGCCACGAGACACAGGAGCACGAGTCGGAGTGTCGGACGGCTGAGAAGCAGAGCAGAGCGGCAGCGGCCATGCGGGGCGGCTGCTACGTGGGCAAGGCCACCAAGATCTTCCTCGCCCTCTTGGCCGCCCTCGCCGTCGTCGGCGTCGTCCTCGCCTTCCGCGCCGTCCTCCACCGCGCCGCCGCCAAGTCCAGCTCCAACTCCGCCTCATCCGCGTGCACCGCCGCCGACGCGTGCCAGCCCGTCCTGCCCGACACTGACCCCGCCGTCCAGCAGCCCGCCGCCGCCGCCACGGCCGCCCGCCCACCGCCCACGGCCGCGCAAAATCCCACCTTTCCCTCCCCGGACGCCGCCACCTGGCCGCCGCCGCCGCCCTCGCAGCCGATGCCTGTGCCCGAGACCCCTCTGTCGCCGCCGCCGGTGCCCGTGCTCCCACCTCCCCAGCAGCAGTTGCCGCCGCCGGCACCAGTCGTGCCACCCCCGCCGGCAGAGATCGCGTCGCCCCCACCCGCACTCGCGTTGTCACCGCCGGACCTTCTGCCGCCGCCTCCAACACCTGCGTTGCCGTCGCCTCATGCGCCGCCGGCCGCCCCAGAGGCGCCCAGCCCAACGGCGTCTTGACTCATCCTCCATGCCGACGAGCAGGGCAGACCTGCGGCACAGAGGGAGAGGTGGATTTGTTAGAGGAGTTAGCTGCCGTTGATGTACTCACTGCTTGTGCTTGTTCAGTTTGTCTGATAATTCAGTTGCAATTTTGTTGAATTTCCATCGATCACCGTCAGGATCTCACAAAATCAGTCTGCGCGCGTCTCTCTTGTCCAAAAATCTCTTCTGTTCTTTGCATTTTGTTGCAATGTGCAGAATCTACGTTCTTTGCTGAGAGACAAATCTTTAATGTTTCTCGGGGAAATTCAGTTTGTAGCAGTACTAGGAATCACTGCTTTTCACACCTGCATCGACTGGATTGACATGAATTGACCATGGAGTCTGGTCTGGTCATGGTCTCATGGAGAGAGGCCCCGTCTGGCTTATCCCATATTTGGTTTATTTTTTTAGTCGGAACAGTGTTTTTCTCTCACAACAATTTAGCCAGAATAGTATTTTTTCAGCCAGTTTTAGCCAAAATTCAGCAAGCCGAACGGTGACAGCAACAGAAGCATGGGTCAATGGCCATGACCTGTTGTTGACCACCTTGGGTTGTGCTGTATGAGATGAGAGTGACTGAGAGATAAGATTCCTCGGCTCCACAGATCTACCCACCACTCTGCATCTAACAAAGCACACATGACAGCAGTGCTTCTCTAATTTGATCTCTAGCGCCTCCACTTGCAGCAAAAGAAATAAGAGAACAGCTAAAGAAAGAAACAAGGGAAGAGGAACTGCCCACTTGCCCAGAAATATTCTGCTATAGTACTTTGGTACAAGTATCCATTATTTTCGTAATAGCAGAGGTAGTTTTGGAGAATTGTGCAGAGTGACGTTTCAACATCCACGGAGCTACAGATCACTCCATCGCTCCCAGTTGTTTTTTTTAATAAAAGGTTAAGAATGCAGTGGCATGATTTTTGGAGAATTGTGCACAGTGCGACATGCACGGAGCTACAGATCACTCCATCACTCCCAGTGACGTTTCAACATCCACGGAGCTACAGATCACTCAATCACTCCCATTTTTTTAATCAAGAATGCAGTAGCATGAACATGTGTAGGAGACTAGGAGTACCTGCAATGCCTGAAGAAATGCATGGCAGCCACTAGATTCCATTCCACTTTTGTGAAACAGCAGCTCATCATCATTTACCTAAAAGAGCTCAGCAGCACCTGTAGTACAAAAAGAATTCATTACTCAGAAATTAGAAGAAAAGTTCTGCAATATATACCCTCAATGGAAGAAAGAGGTGAAAGAAGAAATCCTAAAAGAAGTTAGAGCAGAAATGAATGAAAATTTTGAAAAGATGAAAAAATAACATGATGACTCTTTTGATATCAACAAATATTTGCAAGATGACACTATATTAAATGAAAATATGGATATGAGCACCTTTCATTATTAGAACAAGAGTGAAAATTATTACAAGAGAAGAGCTCCAGTCCTTTTCAGGAGAAACACCAGTGCTGAGCTTGGCAGCAGACAGCAGCTCATTCTTCTCATCTTCCTCCATGGTCTCTGTTTCTTCTTCACTCAGAATATGCGAGAACCATTAAGAAGTTTAGTTTTTTACCAACAAAGCTACTGCTGCAAGGTGCAAAAGGGTGACTGATGCTCTTGTCGCATATTCTTCTCATCTTCCTCCATGGTCTCTGTTTCTTCTTCACTCAGAATGATGCTGTATTGTCACATGCCCTTTACCTTGGAAAAAGGTTGAACCAGAAGAAAGTAAGCAGCCAGGGTCAGGGATATGCTGAGATGTAGGGAATCAGGATGAAGTTTTCTTTTCTCCCTGTGAAAGAAGAAAAGCTACCGCAGCTCTCTGTTATAATAGTATCACCTTACCTGTCGCCACATACCAAGTCCATGATTGTGCCTTTGTCATCTTTAGGCCATGTTCTGTTATACCCCATTCCACGCGGTTAGAGGGGATCGAGAGGGATTAGGAGGGATTTTGACTTTCTAGGGATTTAAACCACCTCAATCCCCTTCAGGCCCCGATCGGTTGCATCAGAAGGATTCCCAGCGAATCAATTTCTTCACTAATTTGTACTAGCATGGAAGATTTCGTGGCTTGGAACGTCCCATTCCAGGACAACTGAACAGGGCCTCAATCCTCTCGGATTCATTTGCAACCGAACGTGGCCTTAGGGCTTGTTCGGTTAGGGTGAAATCCACCCGGAATTGTTCCATTTGATAATATGCTATATAAATTAACAAAGCAATCTTGGTAGGAATAAATCCAGGTTATGAATCCCTAAGAAACCAACGGGCCCTTAGGGGGAAAAAGAAACAGAGCAATAGGCTTGCTACACCACATCGAACTAAGCGAACTGAACCGAACACGTGAGGACAAGGACAGGAGGGCATAGTGTCGTTTCTTCAGGTTCAGGTAGCTTTCTCTGTGCTGTGCAAAACTATAGGCGCATGCTGCCTGTTTTGTGTTTGGACTAGCTGTCAGCTGAGCTCTGCTTCTCTGAACTCAGCAATGCCAAATGGCCAAGCATCAGTTAGTAAGCAGAACGTACCCAATTAACGCTGAAAGAGTGAGGATAGATTCATCCCATCAGCAGTGAACAGACGAGTAGAGTCAACCATGCATGGCTGGATCTCTCAGATGGTCAAGGCCATCCCGACGGCGAGCGTCAAGCCAACCTTGTTCTCGAACAAGCGAATGCTCATCGCACCAGACGATCTCAGGGCCGGCCGGCGCAGCCGTGGGCGTGGAGGCGGTGGGCATGTCGTCGGTGGACGACGGCACGGGACAAGGCTCCGGTGCTGCCATGGTAGGCGCCGGCCGGGGTGGGGGCGACGCTCCTCATCTGGTGCCGGGGCTTGCTCCTGGCGCGGTGACGGTGACCTCGAGCTTCATGCCGCGCCGGGCGGGACGGGCGCGGCAACTGCTTTGACCACCGACGGCTTGGATTGGACCTTCTCCAACTCCCCTTCATTCTCGCTCTCGCGCCAAATGATGGCAGGCCAGGCCACCTTCGGTTCCGTGCTGCCAAAGCGGTCTCCATGTGTAGACGACGTGCACCAAATCAAAAGCCTGCCGAGTCCACTCGTCAATTCCTTCGGTTCCCTCTGAATATTTTTTTTGAGTGAAGTATTATAAAACTATTTCTCATAGTAAATCTTATTTATGTTATATTATATGAATTTCTATAATTTGACAGTCAACGATGGAAATCTTTGGCTTTACACAAACCTAAACACTGCAGTATTTACGAAGAGAGAACTAAAACAACAACCCCTTTGAAGTTTGAAGCGGGGGAATTAGGTTTAGTCCGTAATAAAAATGGGCTACGAAGGAAACAAACTACTCCTAAGTCAATTCATATAGCGCTGTCCTCGAGGAATCCTGATGCATTTCTGGATCGTTGAACACGAATAAGCGCTCATACACTCTGTGATTGAGCCTGTTAACATATCACACCAACTGTCAGACAGTGCTACAAAAAATTGTTTGGTACCAGTAATATCTGTTTGCTGAGGCTGAAATTTGACTCGTGCTGATGCTTATACTGAAACATTTTTAAAAAATAATATTGTTCCATAATTGAAAAGTAGTTCGAATAACTCAGACCTTTAAAACAGGTCGTGTTCACCAAATACCAAATGTGTTGGAACTTGGAAGAATAATGATTAAATTATTCGATCAACAGTGACAACGAATACATATTATACACTAATAAATAAAGTAGTAGCAGTATAATAATCGAATCAAAAGGCAAAACAACAAAAAAACGGCGAACTTCTCAGCAACAAACTGTCGGTGCGCCGCACAATGCAATAATGAATGGCTGTATATATTTATCTGCAAAAATCATGCATGTCACGACCCGCTCTCACATGGCCAAGGCGGCCACGGCGACGGCGACGGCGACGGCGAGCCCCACGACAGCCTTGCTTGCGAGCGTGGCGGCGCCAGACGACGACTTGGGCGACGGTGCGGCGGTGGGCGAGGACACGTTGGGCAGCTCGCCGTCGGTGGACGTGGCGGCGGCGTCGGGAGCCGGCGCTGCCGGGGCCGGGGTCGGGGCGACGCTCCTCTTGTGGCGGGGCTTGGTCGTCTTGGCGGGCGCCGGCGCGGTGGCCGCGGCGGCGGCGACGGTGACCTCGAGCTTCATGCCCGCGGCGCAGTGGCCGGGAATGCTGCAGATGAAGTAGCGCTTGCCTGGCGCGGAGAGCTTCACGGTGGCGCTCCCGCTGGTGTAGGACTTGACGGGGTTGGCGCCCGAGCAGGCGTCGTAGCCGGCCTTGGTCACCTCCGTGACGTCGTGCGACGACTTGAACTTGAAGGCTGCGGGCAGATCCAGCACGAGAAGCATCGTCATATATATATATATATATATATATATATTGCTACTGCAGTATTGCCTGGCAATGGCAATTGAAAAATGCAGCATATATTATTGTGTGTTTTGTGTTCTTACACAAGGTGTCGCCCTGCTTGAACGTCTGCTTGGCGGACCAGGCGTCGTAGCCGTTGCCGCTGGCGTCCCAGGAACCGTCGCCTCCCACGGGGTGGTCCGCCGCCGCGGCGAGCTGCACCGCGAGAGCGGCCACGGCAGCGACGGCGAGGATGGCGGCCTTGGCCATTGCCATTATATATCTCTGACCAGAGATCTTCTTTCTTCTCTTCTTAGCTTCCTGATGCGGATCTGGCTGGCTGGCTGGCTGGCTATCTAGAGGCAGCTACCGGCTGTGCTGCGACCTGAGCTGCGCAATGCAATAGAGAGAACTGAAGCTTGTGGTAATGGACTGATGGCTCCTGCACACTGGGTGGCCTCGCTTTCGCTTATATAGATGGAGCAAACTGGGGCTCGGGAATGCGGGATGCATGCAATGGACAGCAAGGTGGCGTGTCGGTCGTCGTCGTCAGAGCCTACGCCTGATGGAGCCTCACTGACTGACTGATTGACAGGGAGAGAGAGAGACAGGCAGATCATGCAAGCCATGCCCGATGCATGGTTGACGGGCGGGGTTGGTGGCCGGACACCGGACACGGACAGACAGACGCGCGCGACGCGGCAATTCTTTGGACCTAAGGTAGGATTGAAAAAAATTTCAACCGATGAATAGTAGCACTTTCGTCTTATTTGATAAATATTATCCAATTATGGACCAACTAAGCTCAAAAGATTCATCTCGTGATTTCCAACTAAACTATGCAATTAGTTATTTTTTTAACCTACATTTAATGCTCCATACAAACAGCTAAAAATTAATGTGATGAAGAGAGCGTGAAAAAACTTAGAATTTTGAGAGTATCTAAACAAGTCCCTAGCTGCTAGCTGTTGGGGTTCAACTTCAAACTCAACTGCCCTTCTGTACGTTTGCTTCCTGCCGCCATATTTTATTGCAAAAAAGTTGTGAATTGGGCACGCAGGCCTAGTTTAGATGGCAAGTTTTTTCATTCTCTCTTCGTCACATCAAATCTTTGACATATACATAGAGTATTAAATGTAGATAAAAAAATAACTAATTACACCGTTTGATTGTAAATTACGAGACGAATCTTTTGAGCCTAGTTAGGCCATAATTGGACAATAATTATCAAATATAAACGAAAATGCTACAATGTCAAATACTGGTTCCTAATCCCATTCTAAACAAGGCCGCAATAGTGCTGCTCTTCTTCTTCGATTCTTCTTCTTGCTTGGCTTGCAGTGCAGATGCATGATTATAATGTGAATGTGAACCAAACCAACAGTAGCGCTTCTTAATTAACAATGGATTTAGTATGCCCTTCCGCGTACACGTACATCCATCAGCTGCGACTAGTAGTATATACATATTCTAATCCATCCGTCGTCGGTTGGCTGGGCATAGTTAAATGATGATTGTTTACAGGTAACGTCTCCACGTTAGTTTGGCGACTTGGACGGAGGCCGAAAAGCTCGGCAAACTATACTCGCTGTGTGTGTTCATGGCTTCCACACACTAAGGAATAGGGATACCAAGGAAAGCTTACTTACAAATTAAACTATTCTAATTAAGCATTGATCGTTGATAGGATGGCATGTTGCTTCACATTGCCGTTTAGCAGCTGCTAGGCGTTTGCAGCCAGGGAAAGGGAGAGCACCTATCATGCATCATCCCGGCCCCCCCGGGAGACACAAAATAAAATGCATATACCACTTCGTCAAGGCATATATCTATTGACAGTTTCACACATTCAACTTTGGTTACTCATACACACACACGCACACGCGCGCACGCACGTATTATTGTTGTACTCTAGACCACCATGTCTCAACATTCCATTCCAACTATTGGAAAATGTTTTATATCTTCATAATCATAACATCTTTAGTACTCCATCCATTCCAAATTTTAAAAATCCTTCTGGCTTTTCTACATACATAACTTTTATTATGTATCTAAATATAGCTTATATCTATGTGTACAGTAAAAACAATGTTCCAAGAAAAACTAGAACAAACTATAATTTAGAATAGAGAGAGTAGTAATGAAAAACCCCGAATCAATACTATTTAGTGGTCCTTCGGTTGAAGCTAGTGTTTGGTTCAAGGACGAGGACATCGTACATAGGTAGGATATCCCGCTTTGAGATGGTCTTTGGTTCTGAGACAGGCAGGGTCAGAGACGTTCCATCAATGAATATGCTTCCTAGATCCGAGCACTGTGCCACAACACCAAAATCTTTATCACCGTCGGCTCGCAAACCCCCATCACCGTTGGTTTTTCGAGTCGGTGATGTTATTTAGCGTTGATGGGGGGTCCATGACCGCTGGATTAAAGCCGATGGTGAAAAAATTGGTCCGACGAGGTCCCTTGTTTGTGCCCATCGCTCCTTGCGTCTGTGCGCCACGGCTGCTCGAGCTCGCTCCCTGGCGTGGTCGTGCCGCCGCTCACCCAATTTTCGGCCAAGGCCCTTGGTGGCTGCTTGTGGCCTCTCATCGCCGCCACTTGCCCAGATCTAGGTCAAGTCGTCGCTCGCCGGGAGGGGAGCCGCCTCGCGTGGCCCTTGCGCCCTCACGCTGCCCCTGTGAGGGAGTGAAAGGGAGGGACCTGGCCAGCATGCGCAGGAGGGAGAGGGTGGGAGGGGGCCATCCCCATGAGGAAGAGCAAGGGAGGAAAAGATAATAGGGAAGAGGATTATTATAAGTTTATAGCTAACCGGTGCACAAGCTCTAAAAATATTATGAGAAAAGAAAGTAGACCATGTTTTAATGATAAAGTATGTTCTAATAGTGGATTACTGTATGGGCCGGCCGGCTGATAGCAGGCTGTAAATGAACATTCAACTAGCAGTGGGTTGTATTTAGCCCTGGTCTACGAAATGGAGAATGTGAGCGGTGCTGCATTTGCATTGGCTTCCGTGCACAGTAGCGTGACTCTGAAACAGAGACGTTGGGGTTTGCGTTTTCGTGGGGCCGCAAGATTCCTGGTCGATCATAGAGTTGTTAACAAATGAATGACAAGGCTAGCTGCTGGTGGATCGATGCAAATGAGAAAATTGTGCTCCTACTCGAACGCGTCGCATACACCGTACCTGCCTCGCTCCCTGCCTGCGTGTGGGAGTGGTTACTACTTACTTTGGAGCCACCAGCCACCCATGTGCTTACCCCTTTGCCTTTCAATCAATCCACAGCTTGTGCATAACTTTGCATTGCAACGAGCAGAGGTGCATTCTGACCAACGCTTCCCCCCCTAAACTCTAGTAGGAGTAATAGTACCATTTTGTTTCTGCCGTTGCTTCTTCCAAAATTGACCAGTACGACTAATTCTCATTATTAGCTCATTAGCTCATGGGCAAGGGCTATTATATTTATGCTTCGTACATGCACTACTAAACGAGGAACACGGCCGGCAGACACTGAGATTGACAATGCCTCCTCATACGTCTCAATATTGAAGATATGTGTGACCATCCATGCTAAGTTGAAGATTAGAATCGTCCTAGTGAAAAGGTTATACCACAAAAAAACTAACAACTATATGCAATGATGGAAAGGCTCCTACAACTACAAGTTATATTTCCTTTTAATAAAAAGAAATGTCTTAATTGTTCTAGTTTTTCCTTAGCTCTACCTGTTTATCAATGTTCTCCATAGAAACACCCAAAGGTCTTGTTTGGTATATCTTCTCTGGGAAGCGCTTCCCTGAGAAGCTATACACTTTGATGTGAAGTAGTGTGTATACTATATAAAAGTTTCCTTCTTCCTAAAATCACAATGTGAGTGACTAAAGCAAAATTTGTCAATAAAAAAATGAGGTAGGGGAATTAGGAAGCTGTTTGAAGATCGTTAACCACGCTACCCAAGCTTGAGCTTGGGCCCAAGAGCAAGCTGGTACCATTCTCTTGCACAATTCCATATGGACACCGGTTGAGCCTAGAACGAACAAGCCCAATATCATTCCTTTTTTTCTTTTTTTTTTTTCTTTGTTGATCAGAGTTTTTAATGTAAAAGGCCCAGCAGCCCAACCGTTGGCAACCTTTTAGGCCCAAGGTGACTAATGGTTTGTTTCTTTGGGCTGAACCTATTTGACCAGTTTGACAAACCCACTTGTTTTTTTTTTATAAGGGAAGCCCAGTTGCGTCAAGCCGTCGTGGGTGACACTCATAGCCCAATTCATGATTATAGAGACGGTGATAATAAATAACGAGGAAAAAGTTCAGAATAAGGGTCATCATGTAAATAAGTTAATTACAAATTGTTTTCTTTTACCACAAATAACAAGCAATGAACCATCGAGCCAATTCGATGTTTCATCAAAATGTAATGAAGCCATTGAAGGACTGATCGACATGAAAGGGCAACATCGAACTTGAATGAAAAAGAAAGAAAAGTGAGAGAGCCGGAAGAAGCTAGGAGAATATAATGGAATGAAAAATCTCAGAGACCATCAGCCTGCCACATTGCCATGCATGCAACACGCGACGGTCGTCGTCACCGGACGGTCATCAGTCGACGTAGATGGCGCATGTGGCCCTGATCTCGCCGTCGGTGCCGGTGCGCACGGCGATCCTTCCCATTTTGAGCATGGAGACGCTGAAGTCCTGGAAGAAGGTCGGGGCGTAGGAGGCGTTGGTGGCCATGAGCGTCACGTAGGGCGCGGTGAAGCTGTCTTCCAGCAGCGCGGCGTCCGAGGCCAGCAGCGCCCGGTGGTTGTACACGGACTGGAAGTAGCCCGTGTCGAAGGTGGTCGGCGACACCTGGTCCAGCGTCTGCACGCTGGCCATGTGCTCCGGCGTGCACACCGCCGTCAGGTTCTTGGCGTACTCCGGGTCCAGCGCCGGGTCCTGGTCGCCGGCGCCGGTGTAGTTGTACAGGCGGTTGGAGAACGACGAGCAGTGCGCGACGCCGATGGTGTGCGCGGCGGAGAGCACGGTCATGTCCTTCATGCTGAGGTTCTGCGCGGCGAAGTACCCCGTGAGGACGGTGACGTTGCCGTCGGCGGGGGGCAGGGACCGCTCCGCGTCCTCCTTCCGGGACACGTTGCCGTCGCGCCGGCCGGTCTCCACCTGGTACGCGGGTCCCCTGGTGAAGTTGACGGCGTCGCGCGCGGCCATGGCCATGATGTCGGCGCAGGAGACGGTGAGCGGGCAGGACTCCTCCACCTTGGCCTTCACGTCC